TGTACTGCGTCTTTAATGTAGTAGAGTGGCAAATAAAAAATGTTCTTTTCTTTCAACTGCTGAAAAACGATTTACATTGCATTTTTTATAACTAATTTTAGCTCCTGAATACTGATGTCGGAAGACAAAAGCTTTCGGCGACGTCAAAAACTTCCAAAAGCTTCCAAAACTTTTTATTTCGGAATATTTAATGCAAAAACTGAAGGAAGAATTAATACCTAAAATTAATTGCCGCCTCCATTTAAAACCTTCATTACTTTTTCAGATTTGAATCTTGGACAGAAAAGTTGATTTACCGAAAAAAATTTGAATAAGTTGGCAGAAATAGCTGACTTCAGGTGTGAAGTTTGCTCAAACATGTAATAAGTAGAACTTCATCTTGTGGTTACATCATTTTTTGATTTGTCTGCATTTTTATATTTAGTTTTTTGCTGTCTGTAAAGTTCAGTGTAGAAAACATTAGAATAGGATGCGTAGGAACAAGGTTTTTGATTCTTTAGACCAGTTTGTCTATAATTGAATCTAAAAGAATTTCTATTTTGATCACAAGTTTTAGGAAATGGTTAAGGTATTCAACTGACTCATAAATACAATTTGGCTGCTTTTACATTTACTGGATTGTCTTAAACAAACTCTAAATTTTTAAGAAAATTCTTACTCCTCTGCTGTTGCTGTTAATATTATGTAAAAATCTTTTTGCAGTATGGCTATTATATTTATCAAATTATTTATATTCATCAAATACTTATTTGTTATCGATATGATGAATATAAACTTATTTATATTCATTGAATTGAAGAACAAATTTTGAAGAACTTGTACCCGTTCCTATTCTTTGAAACCGGTTCCTATTCTTTGTAAACATTCATTCCTGATGAAATTTTATTCATAAAGAAATGATAACCATGCATCAAAACAGACATATTTTCAGCTCCTGATTAAGCCAACATTTACTTAAGGAACTAACCTTAGGTAAAAATTATAAATTTTCATTTTTTTTTTTTTTGTTGTTATAATTGCTTCAAGATCAAAATTTACGACAGAATCCTAATTTGTTATTAAAATTTGAAAAAAAAAAATTTTTTTTTGAAGTTATTTTAATTTATCTTAATATTAGTATAGATTTTTACTCTTAGCAATGCCCTTAGCAACCATGTTGTGCAATTATATTACCTCGATTGCAAATTAATTCTAGTGTTATTCATTTTTAATTTGTTTTTAAGTACTCTTCATGGACTTTGCATGAATTTAAAAAAAAAAAAAAAATTTTCAGGAATTAGATCAAGACTCCTACTAGAATAATGCCTCCATGACCAAATGCAAAATGTAAACGAGTGTTAAAATGAAGTTATTAGAACACACTGTCCCAAATCTACTAATTGTAGCATAAATGTACTTACAATTGGTGTTTGTTTTGCTATCATAAATTTCAATGATGATATCGGAAAAGCTTTTGATTGTTTGAATATTTCACGTGAAAGTTTTTTTGAAAAAAAAAAACATCAAAACATGACCGTAATAGAGCTGTAATTTATTGTAAATAGTCATCTTATATTATAAAAACACAAAGAAAAGTAGGGAGAGGTCTACGAAAAGAGTTGATATAGAAAGAAAATAAAGACATTAAAGGATGTCAATCCTATAATTTTGGATCCCATTGAGTTAGTTCTGTTTTGTTTTTATAAACAATATCAAAATTTTTAAAACTGATTTTTCTCAATAATTTTAGTTGTACTGTTTACTAATACTTTATGAAACTTCTTGAATTATTTTATGAATGTTCCTTACTGATATAGCTACAAAATGACCCTCATTGAAGAAATTTTCTTATTTAGATTTGTACTTATAAAATTTTAAATAGGGAAATAAAACTGTGAAACTCACCGATTCTTATGAAAATGACTATATTTTTGCAAGTTTTGATAGTTTGAATGTGAAACTGGCACATATTGTAGTTTACATTGTTATAAAACAACTGTGCATATTTCAAAGTTTAAAAATCACCCTATGTTAAATAATCGTGTAAACAGTTTAGTTCCTTTTTGGGACCAAGCCCAACCTTTTTATTAGGACTAAAATAGAAAAAAATTTTGTTTTGATTTAATATTACTATAATTAAATAACAATACAAATTAAATTAATAAATAATTAAATACAAATTAAATTAATAAATAATTAAATACAAATTAAATTAATAATATTCTGTTATATTTAATTTTTTTCTTAAATTCAAAATCAAATGTTTTTTTAAATATCATAACTGTAGTGGCAATGGCGTAGAAACAGTGATGAGGGATGGGAGAAAGGGGGTCAGAAAGGGTGATAGTCCCTCAACTAAAACACTTGGGGGGAGGGGGTGGAAACGGCATGTAGCCTCCCACTTCCAAAACAGTTTTAAAAAAACTTTTATAACAGCAACAGCAGAATTATCATTTTCCAGTCTGCAATGACTCAATCACAATTAAACATCACCATGAAAAGTATATCCATAAAACTATTGCATACTAACTATTTTTTAACTAAATGTATACTGGCAAAAGATGACTAATCACGTTAAAAAGATGATTAATCACTTTGTGTGTGATAAATAATTGAATAAATTTCATTTTTATCTATTTTGCTGTATCATAAAAAATTGAGGAACTTTTTAATATATGTTTTCAGGAATAAGATGAAAAGTAAATAAACAAATAAATTTAATAAAAATTTTACTAATTCTATATAAGAATTTGTAAAATTATTACAAAATTTATTTCCATAATTACTTTTTATCAAATCTTTTTTTTTTAATGTAAATTTTTTTACTTCTTCTGTATAATCGAATGATCGAAATCGAAAAAACATTTATCATGTATTGTCATAAATAGTTTCGTAAAGACTATCTAATCTAATCTAAAAAAAGTAAAGACTAGCTAATCTAAAAAAAGATTTGATACAAAGTAATTATGGAAATAAATTTTGTAATAATTTTACAAAATCTTATATAGAATTAGTAAAATTTTTATTAAATTTATTTGTTTATTTACACACAAAACAAAATTAATCAAACTACAAGGCTTGCAAAACCATGCTTGTAAAGCAATTCATTATCTAGGTAGAATGGACAATCCTTCCAATGCGATGACAAATATGAAAGTCTTAAACTTGGAAAAACTTAATTCATATCGAATTCTTATTTTTATGTTCAAATATAAAAATAATATGCTACTAAATTCTTTTTTAAACATATTCTCGTCATTTTTTTCTCAAAGTTATAACCTACGATCAATTAGCTTCCATAACTATTATATTAAAAAAACTAAAACCCGGGGTTCTGAATTTTCAATTATGTCACAGGGTCCTAAAATATGGAAAAAACTTGAAAAATCAAAAATTAAAAGACTTAAATGGAATCTCGTTGTTCAAACGGCAAGCAAAGCTGCATATTCTTAGTTTGTAAAAAAAAAATTAAAAAAAAAAAAAAAAAAAAAAAAGTAAAAAAAAAGTAAAAAAAAAAAAATAAAAAAATAAAAAAAATAAATAAATAAAATGTATATATATATATATATATATATATATATATATATATATATATATATATATATATATATATATATATATATATATATATATATATATATATATATATATATATATATATATATATATATATATATATATATATATTTAACAGTAGAAATAGTTATTACAATGCTAATTACAAAAAATTATCTCTAATTTTACTTAATTAACTTTTTATATAGACATAGATATACGCCAAACGGCGCTATTAAGGGAATCTGCGAAAATATTTTTTTGGAGTTTTATAACCAAAAATGCTGAATCTTCTTTGATTTCCTTTTTTTAGGTATTAAAGTATAGAAAAAAATAAATATATAAACAATCTCCTTGTTGCGTAACAACAAAATAAATTAGGTAAATATCGCAAATTTTGTCTCAATGCAAAACCATTTTTTACTTCTCGCTTAATAAGAAAACTATTTTAAACATTTATAGATTTTACTCTGTGTAAATGTTTTTTATGCAGCCGTGGCGTAGTGGTTAGAGTTCTGGCTCAGAACCAAGAGGTTCCAGGTTCGATGGCAGCTTTAGCCCAACAAGCGACATTGGTACGGAAGGAGGCGTGAACTTCTTGTTAAATGCTCTCCCGCGGTGCTCTATGATAAGACCGTAAGGACTTCTGGGAGCACCTAAAATAACTACAAAAAAAAATAACTACAAATAAAAAAATGTTAATTAGATGAACAAGTAAGCTATCCCTGGAGAGATTACATAGTTTTAAACTTACTATAAATGTTTTGAAGTTTCAAATAATATTCTCTTTAAGTGTCAAGTAATAAATGATTTTGAAGAGAGAAAAATGCAAACAAGGTTTGCGACTTGTACCAGTTGATTTTAGTAATCAGTTGCGCAACATTAAGATGGCTTTTCAAGAATGGCTTTTCTTTTAATTTAAACATTGTTTTACGCATAATTTGATTGATAACGATAATATTCACTATTACATTTTTATCAACGGTTGTGCTGTTTAAGTAGAAAAGAAAGGAAAGCCTTCCAAAAAGCCAAAAATATTAGAGATTGCATGTGAAATAGATTTACTAAAGCTGATCTCAATTAACACCAGTGGCTAAAAAAGCAGCAACCATAGAGTCACCTAATAAAGAGGTTTAATAAGTGTCTAAAAATGCACAATTTTTTCCGAAAAACTGTAGATTTTGTTACTTTACAAATAAAATTTAAAAAAAGTAGACCAATGGAATAACACGTATATCTCTATATATGTGGTCTAATTTTTTTTTTATACCTAAATTTTTTGAACAAATAGTTATATGGCTCATAAAAGTGGATTTCAGTTATTTGAAACTTTGGTTATTTAAAGTTAATTCTTACTATCTTACTATATTTTTTACAAAGTTAATTCTTACTATAATTCTTACTATGGAGGTTGGAATAACCGGGAATTTACAGTATCATAAAATTAAATCAAATTATAAATAAAGTTTTTATATGGTACAAAAAAAGTTTTAAAAAGATTTTTTAAACGTAACAATCAAATAAGTTTTATCCTGATTAAATATAAATTGTATAATATAATTAATACGAGTTCAATGTAATTAGAAGTTCAGCGGAATTTCTTTTCAAATTAGTTTTAACAACACAAGTTAGCAATGTACTTAAAAGATAAAATCCTAATATAATATAAGGAACAGTTTCAACCAAACCAAGTCGAAAAAACAATCCAAACACTAAACCAAAAATTAAACCGTAAATGTGAGCGATGATGAGAATAAAGGCACTTGAAAACTCTTCTGGAACTGGAAATGTCATTTCTGCGGATTGCTCAAGCCCAATGGTCGAGTAAGCATAAGCAAAAAATCCATAGATCAAAAACATTACTAACGGACCAAAGAAACTATCTGTTTTTTTTAATGTCAAAATAAATCCTAACCACGTCATTGTCGCACTGAAATTAATAACAATTGCTAATAGTCGAAATCTTTTTAACTTATCCAATATTATACCAAAAAGCAAACAACCAGTAATTCCACATATCAGACTAAATACGCCCATCCATCCAATTTTTTCAGCAAAATTTTTTTTGTATTTTTCCATAAATATGTTTAAAAATAAAATTGTTGATGAAATTAGTCCAAAATAAATTGAATATGATTGCGACATAGCTAGAAAGTGTTTATCTTTCAGAAGCATTATGAGATATTTTTTTAATTTTTCTTTTTTAATAAATTCTTGTGATGACGAACCATTATGTTGAGAGTCACGCAATGGAGGTTTCTTAAAAAATATCAACGTTAATAAAAACGTAAAAAAGACAAATATAAATCGTGTTAAATAAAACATTCGAAACTGATTTTTGAGCTTGTCAAAGTTATTGTATTCTGTAATCATAAATGTATTTTGCAGAAAACCTAATGATCCCCCAATCATATTCATGAAATAACCAATAGCTGTAGATTTCCCTCGCTCGTTGCTCGGAAACCATTGCGACGAGAGCTGACTGGGCATTTGCAAAATAGCGCTGTTCCCAAGTGCTGCAAAAAATTGACCAGTAATGAATAATTTAAAACCGTTTTGACCAAAACCAGCTAAATGAAAACCAGTACCTAAAGCATTTAATGCAGATGCCAGAATCAGCACAGGTCTTAATCCCATTCTAAACACCAAGTAGGATGAAGGCATTGCAGTAACAATGTAAACAACGAGAAAAAGATTATTTAGTAATTGAATACTTAGGTCACTTATTTTATAATAACTTTTAGAGATAACACTTTTTGGACTTATTCCTATATATAAAAGTCCAATTACTATGCTGTTAAGTGAGTAGATAAATAACATAATCCATCGTTTGTAACCAACATTATCTTTTTTTAAGGGCAGAAGGGATGATTTTTCCTCCAATCCTGATTGGTTGACTGAATCTTCACAATTATTTATTGTTGATTCTGAAGACATATTTTAAACTTAAACAGAAAAATATTATAAACTACTTCAATGCATTAAATAGCAAAATAATTACAAGGTTAAGTTTTAATTTTTTAAATTCTTTAAAAAAACTTTTTGCTATAAAAGAAACAAAAGCGTTATTATATACTCTTTAATCTATTTTTGTTTTGCTCCATCTAAAAACATCTTGACTTTTGATAGCATGTCAACTAAAATAAAACAATATTAGTATTTTGCTTTAAAATGATTTTCTTTTTAACTAAATATCAACGTATTATAATTTATAATATAAATTGGATTAAAAAAAAAATTGAAAATCGTCATTACTTTATTAAAGAGATAAACATCGTCGTCATCTAAGTTATCAGAAAATATCATTAAAGTAAAATCTGTTCATTTTCCAATGGTTTTTTTCCACATCAAATTTCTCACGCATTGATTTTATTTCACTTGGTATTAGTAATAACAACGCTTGATGATTTTGTCTTATTAATAAGAAGAAATAATTTTCGATTTAGCATCTAAACTTATACGCAACAACTAAACAACGATAGAATGATAAAACTTTCATATAGTTGTTAAAACTTTTAATGTCTCAAAAGTATCTTTTTTAATTTTTAATTTGCATACCACCTCACATTGTTTTTGTGAATAGAAAAAATTAATAGGACAACTGAAATGTAACTTAGGTGAATTTACTTTTTTTTTTTATCATGCAACATTTCAGCTAAATTTTTTTGTTTTAATCCAAACATTATGTACGTTAAGTAATATTCTATATATGTTTAATATATATTATATTACGAAAAATGCGTGCTAAACAATTAAAGATAACATTTATCGTTAATCGGAATCGTTTTTTTTTTTTTTTTTTTTACAACTTCTATAAATTTACTCACCGTTACGTTATAAATACATGACATAATATAATGCAACGTAAAAAAATATAACATAATAATACCACGTATAACATGGCATAATAAAAATTGGTTTAACAAGTATAACTAAGTATAAAAAAGAAACAATAAGACTAGTTCAAGTTTGTATTTAAGCAATAATTAATACATTTTGGTAGATGTTTATTTGGTAAACATTTAGTGCATTCAAGATTTTTAGTAAGGGTTCAGCATGGGTGAGTTTATCTTTTTTATAAACTAATCTTGATCCATGTTTTTGTCTTACATAAACAGTACTCAATTTGGATTTGTGTGTCCTTGCCCATGCAATATTAGCGTACGTAAGATAACTTTGGATGTAAGAAAAAAAAAGCAATTTAAGGGGGTAGGGGGGGTAGGGGGACCAAATTTAAGGTTATGTTAGGACAGCATAGCTTTAACTTTGTAGAGTATCCCAATTTTTTTTGAAATTTTGGTGTTTATTGTACTTATATAGGCTCTCCATGATATATTTTTGTCAATAAATATCCCAAAAATTTAGTTGTTTCTGTTATTTCCAGTGCCGGATCAAGGAAGGGGGTAGGGGGACTACAGCCCCGGGCCCCACAAATTTAGGGGCCCCAAAAGTTTTAGAAAACCTTTTTTTTTTAAGTCATTTTTCGGCTCTGGCTCATAAAAAGGCCTCCAAAAACAAAAATAGCCACGGGCTCCAAGAAGTCTTAATCCGTCACTGGTTCTTTCAATGTTTACCTTATATATTTTTAGTGAAGGAAGGATTATTGGTATATTATTTTTTTGTTTTTTGGAATGAAACAATATGTATTTTATTTTTTGTATATTTAGTGATGACTTTTTTAACTTCAACCAAATATTTAATCTTTTAAGCTATTTGTTCGTACATTCATAAAGGACTTTGATTGAGTTCGAGAAATAAAATAAGTTTGTGTTATCGGCAAACATAATTACATCAAGTTTTTCTAAGGCTTTTGTAAGGTCGTTAATATATAGAAGAAACAGAAGAGGTCTAAGAATGGATCCTTGGAGGACACCGCACTCAATTCTTAGTAGTTTTGAGTGTTTATAATTATCTGAAAAAAAAATTGTTGTCTGTTGCTTAAACAGTTTTTGAACCAGTCAAGGGTTATGTTTTTTTTTCCCATAGCTTTCCATTTTTTTAAAAAAGATATTATGATTTACAGTATCAAAGGCTTTTGACACGTCTATAAAGATGCCTAGAACATACTATTTTTTATCAAAAGAATCGATTATATTGTTAACTAGAAACCAAATTGCTTTTTATTTATGATTTTATTTTAGATTAAATACTCATACAATCTGTTATTGTTTATTCTTTCGAAAAGCTTAGAAAAGGTAGGGAATACCATAGTCTATAGTAAGATTCATTACTATAATTATATGACCTATGTACTCACTAGACGACTGATCTTACAAATCCTACAAAAATCCTATAGGATGAGATGCACAAGTCCCTGCAGGACCTACAAGAATCTTTTGAAGGATCTTGTAGGACTTGAAGGAATTCTAATAAGATAATATAAGATCTACAAGAATATTTGAAAAGATCTTGCAGGACTAACAGGATTCTTATAGGATGCTGAAGGAAAATTTTACATTCGTATTTATACGGCCGTAGCTTTCCCCTTTAATCCAGCACTAGTTCCTATAGGAACCAGTGAGAGATTAAAGAGGAGAGGGCTAGGGCCCTAACTATTAAGCGGACCTTTTTCTTTTTCTACTGTTTTAGTCATTTTTATGCTGTGGCACGTTAAAAAGGACTCCGGGCCCTAAAAAGTCTTAATACGCCAATGATAGGAACCATAACATTTATTATTTTATAATTAATATCATAAATCTAATAACCAAACTAAGAACATACGAAGTTAGGTTTTTATTTTGATTGGAAGGAAAGTATGTCTATTCTTCTTTTTAATTACTGATAATAGGTAAGTTAAAGTTTGAAATAACATTTTCTTATTAAAAAAAAATTATTCTGTATAAAAGAAATTTTTCACATATTATCATTATTACAGAATCACAATTGCATTGCTGATTACTTTCGTTTTTTCTTCCTATCTAGGCCGCTCTGATTAAGACTTTGTCTTACGCACGCCCACGAGTATTTGACAAAAACTGTTGCAAGTTGCTCTTTGAGATTTCGTATTATTGCATCAGGAACTGTGGTTCTATAATAAGAAACAAAGATATATAAAAAAAAATTATAGAAATCAGGCAATTAATCATTAATTAAAATTTTAAAACCCGTCCCGCCCCTTAACCCATCGCAGACACAAGGGAGGGGGGGGGGGATTATTACCCCCTCACAAAATTTTTAAATTATTTAAAAAGTATGACTAAGTAAAAAGTAAAAACACTTGAAATTTTAGCTACTTGCTCCAAATATTTTGGCGAATTTAAGTAAAAAAAAATTTATTTGAAATGCCTAATCTGAGCATATTAGTCAAATCCATGGATCGATTCGGTCAAACGAATGACTGGTCAAAAACTTAAATTTTGAATTCTGGCTTTTCTTTGTAATCCTGAAGTTTCATATTTTCCAAGAAGCTTTTTTTTATACTTACATATTTATAATTATTTCAATAAATGAAGTATGAGAAGTTGTTAGTCCAAGATCCTACTTTTTTGGATCTGGATCATGATCCAACAAGTTAAACTAATTGATCCCAAATTTTCAAAATAGGTTAAAAAAAAATAGAAAATTAAATAAAAACCCAAGCACTGAAAGTATGATTTTCTAAATAACCCCCTCCCACCCTGTGCCAACAACTTATAAAAAATAGGTAAGCCTTAAAGCTGCTGCCCAATAACATTACCTAAATAAAAATGCCCTAATTAAAAAACCTACCTATCAGCCTCTCCATGAGTTGTATTCAGGCTTTCTCTAAAACATTTTAAATTTAATAGTATCGTGTTAAAAATACAACAAACTTTCATACTTTAAAAAATGTATATATATATAATATATATATATATATATATATATATATATATATATATATATATATATATATATATATATATATATATATATATATATATATATATATATATATATATATACATATATATATATATGTATATATATATATATATATATATATATATATATATATATATATATATATATATATATATATATATATATAATATGTAAAATAAATATCTAAGAATTTTTATTATTAATTTTTATTAATTAATTAGAGTATAGTTTAAATACAATAATAATTATTAATACAACAAAATTTATGCATATTTATGTTACCAAGTTTATAAAATTTTCATAAAATCCATAATATAAAATAATCATGATATAGCAACTATTTATATATTTTTTTAACAAAAATTAAAAAGATATTAGATTCTTAAACAGGATGTTCATTATAATGAACATGCTGTTTGAGAATCTAATATCTTAATTTTGTATCTAATATCTTAATTTTTGTGATTTAAATGCGCTAGTGACGTGATTTAAATGCGCATTATGAATTGCGGGAAAATAAATAGCACTTGAGTGCTATTTATTTACCCGCAATTCATAATGCAGTCAACTCTCCTATTACGCGGTATTTCTACAATGCGAATCTCCCCATACAGCGCGGAGTGAAAGTTGGAACCGCTCACCTATAACGCGATATGATCTCCATATAACGCGATTTTCGTAAGAACTTTCTAACACGTTATTTATGCGAAAAAAAACAACAACTGACAACAAATCAAATGACTTGAAAAAAATCTATGACAATACTTATTTGACGTTTTGCCTGTATGCATTTAGAGGGTATTTCCCTTTTTCTTAATTTGAATTACGTATTAAACAATCAAAAAACTATTCCTTTTAATTTGGTTTGTGCTTAAATGTGTTAAGTGACAGAATTTATAATAAATTGTTTTGTCTTAGAATTTATAATAAATTGTTTTGTCTTATTAAAATTAAGTTACTGGAGATTATATAAATACACTGGTAAAATATTTTATTTTCTACAGTATTCAGGTAAAAAAAATTTTTTTATTGGTTAGTAATATGACTGAAATAATCAAAGGGAGAAAATATATGAAAAGAAAATCTATAACTCTTATGGAGAAAACTGTAATTTTAGATCGATTAAAGAATGGAGAGAAAGTGTTTTCTGTTGCGAAATCGTTAAATTTGAATGAATCTACAATTCGGACTTTAAAGAAAAATGAAGAAAAAATAAGAAAAACTGTCGCAAATAGTTGCCCATCAGGTGCGAAG